CCATCTTAAAATCAAATAAAGGAGAAACAGGAGAGGATAGTTCTTTTTCTTGTGGGCATTACCTAATGCAGCACTAATGCGAAAGTAAATAAACCTTAATAGGTAGCCTGAACCAGACTTTCAGTTGTCAACAATGGCTTACAATTAAGCTAACCTAAATTATATTCTTTCTTTTTTTCTTTCCTATTGCTTCCCCTCTTCTTTACTGCACTTTCCTCATTTCTTGTGACCTCAGTAACCCTAGACTGATGATTATTCTAGCTCCTGCTTTCCATATGAGGGTTTACTTCATCTACTGATGCTTACCAAAGACATTCATCACACTGGGTTACAAAAGCAGAAAATCAATCTGGTTAATGCTTTTGAGAACTTACTTAACCGAATTCTTGTAGGAATGTCTCATAAATGCACTTCCTGTGGAGGGTCAGAGAAAAAGAGGAAGACCCCCAACGAGATGGATTGGCCAAGTAGCAGCATCGATGGACTTAAGCATGGCAACAGTAGTGAGGTTGGCCCAGGATCAGGCAGTGTTTCGTTCTGCTGTACATAAGGTTGTTATGAGTCAGTACTGACTCAATGGCACCTAACAACAACAATTGCCTTCCAAGAGAGAAGGAAACAACTGCTGTTTGACTGTCTTGTTGTTCATGTCCTACGAAAATTTATAATGAAAATGGATAAAAGAATTTGTTTTACAACTAAGTATTTAGAAATGAGTGGATTTCAAAAATTGAGTTATTTTCTTGTGCTCTCATGACTTGACAGCACTTAACAATGACAAGAATAACAACATCATGCCATCAGGAGTATGATGGCTCTGTAGGATAAACACTGCTAAACACAAGGTCAGTGGTTTGAGCCCACCAGCTACTACTTGAGAGAAAGATGAGGCTTTCTGCTCCTGAAAAGATTTATAGCCTTGGAAATCCTATATAGGGTCACTAGGAGTTGGAACTGACTCAACAGCTCTTAACAACAGCAATCATAATGCTATTGTTTATATGTACATGATTTTATTCCCATTTTTGTGGTACAACTTTGAATTCTAATAAAAAATGAATACTCTTTCAAACAGTGCCTATTCTATGAGCCAAAGGAAACTGCCCACTTAAAGGCAGCTGAAGTCATTCATATACCACCATTTATCTATGACAAATTATTTAGAAAGTGGACCTATGCTCTGCAGCAAAATGTGGAGGCCAAAACGGATTAATTTCTAAAGAGACAGTATTTCCCTTTTAGAGAAAAGGATTAACTCCTAAAATAATGAACTTCTTATGCACAAAAAGAGATAAATTCTAATAACAAGCTAGCCTGTTAGAACCTGCTCCCTCTTATGCAGGATAAAAACAGGCAAAACAATGTTACAATATAAACTTTGAATAGAAAGCATTGTGAGGAAAACATGTCTTTTCATTAATGAATAAAATATGTCTATTATCTCATTAAAGATTTGCATTTGTAACAGAAGAAATAAGAGATCTAAGGTGAATATGACAAATAACAATTGAGTTTGGTGGAAAGTGGCTTGAAACATCCTGTCAGATGAGAAAAAATACACTGAAGGTGGCATATCCCAAAGTCTTTACCAATTATTTACACACACATACATATATAGTCCTAGAACTATAGGATAAGCACTGGACAACAAGGTCATCTTGAACTACAAGGTCAGTAGGTCAAACTCACCTTGGAAACCCTATACAAGGTCAGTATGAGTTTGGAACCGACTTGATGGCTCTTAACAACACTCTCTCTCTCTCTATCTATCTATCTATATATGTATATATATATGTGTGTGTGTGTGTGTGTGTGTTTTATGATGTTCTTGAATGCTCGAGAAAACAGTGTTTTCTAAGAGAGCGTGGACATCAAATAAAGATAGGTCTAGGGCAGAAAGTATTATGATTAAAGTATGAAAACTGGCTAGTACTGGAGACTTCTTCTCCAGCTAGCCTGTTGCCTGAAATTCTTCCTGTAGAGACTCATTCCTTTAGTTCTTGAACGGTGTTTTATGCTTTATTCTCAGAAGGGACAAATCCTTAAATTGTTAGCAGAAAGCATTTCATTAAGGATTATAATTATCTGTTCCCAATCCTAGAAGTAAACTCAGGAGTGTTGCCTAGAGGAGGAATAGGTAACAGGGAAAGGGATGTGAAGGGTAAAGGAAATGTGCCAACGACAAACTGTGCCTACTTCTCTATGTCAAGAATCTGTTCTGGCTGACAGACCTGGAAAAAAGAATGGAGCCAATGCAAATTTCATAACAAAACAGTGCAGTTAGCCCAGTATGGTAATCATGTGATTATCTGCCTTGCTCCTCTAGATTGTAAATTCTTACATGGAAGAAACAGTAGCTTAAATGTCTTTGAATCCTGGCAACTGATATATAATTGTTATTGTTGTTAAGTGTTGTGGAGTCTGTTCCAATTCATAAATAGCCCTTGAACAACAGAAGAAACCAGTCCTGAACCATCCTCACAACTGTTGTTTTGTTTGAGCCCACTGCTGCTTCCCCTGTGCCAATCCATCTGGTTGGAGGCATATAATAGGCATTCAATAAATTTTTGTTAGTTTTTCATCCAGTCAACATATAGTTAATGGAGTATTGAGAACCTGTTATTGAGCTGATTGTTAAGTGCTATCAAGTCAGTTTTGACTCATAGCGACCCCATATTGGGTTTCCAAGGAGTGGCTGATGGGTTTGAACTACCAACCTTTTGGTTCAAGTTGACCTTGCAGCCCAGTGCAGACCTCAGTTTCATTTTAAAAACTTGCCATGCATTTTCAGGGAAAATAGGATTACTTTCAATTAATTGTGTGGCACTGTAGGATAAGCATTAGATGGTTAACCATCTAATATGGTTGGTTCAAACCTACCAGCTGCTTCTCTGAAACCCTATACAGGGTTGTGGTGAGTCAGAACCAACTCAATGGCACACAACAACAATGACAACTTCAGAATTTTGGATAGAATCAGATTGAAAGACATTGAGCTTTTTCCTGAGCACTTCCTACAAGGGGTATACTTTCACATCTGGGCAATGTATGTTGGTAAATATGTTCTCATGTGTAGTGGGCACCTACAGTTGCCTCAGGAGATACATTGCAAGCACAAGGAATATGGGTCAGTTATGGAGGAAATAATAATAATGATAATGATAATGATGCTGATAAATATGAATAGTTTTATCAGTTGCTGTTGAGTTGGCTTTGACTCATGGCAACCTTACATAGAACAAACCAATGATCAGTTTTTGAGTCCATTGCTGCAGTTATGTGTCAGTCCACGCAATGAGTTTCCCTCATTTTCCTTGGTCCTGTGCTTTACCGAACATGAGATCTTTTTTAGTGATTGATCTTTCCTGATGACATGGCCAAAGTGAGTGAGTAGAAGTCTAACCATACATTTTTCTAAGGGATCATTTTGGTGGTATAAGGGCAAGTCAAAAAGTATTGCTACTAGAATTCCAGGTTTATTCCAAACAAAACTTGTTTAAACATGGCTCTGTGAACCGTGGATGGCTGAAGGAAAGTTCTCAGTATTCTGCTTGTCTTAGTCTTGTTGAAAGTCTGACTTATAGTGGCCCTATAGGACAAGATAGAACAGCTTCTTAGGGTTTCCAAGACTATAAATCTTTAGGGAGCAGACAGCTTCATCTTTCTCCTGCTGGTGGGTTTGAATTTGTGACCTTGAAGCTAGCAGCCCAAAGTGTAACCCACTATGCTACCAAGGCTACTTTGTTGCTGCTGCTGTGTGCCATGGAGTCGGTTCCGACTCATAGCAACCCTGTATAGGGTTTCCGAGGCTGTAAATCTTTATGGGAACAGAAAGCCTCATCTTTCTCCCACGGAACAGCTGGTAGTTTCGAACTGCTGACCTTGCGATTTGCGGTCTGATTCATAACCACTACACTACCAGCGCTACTTTAATCTTGTTAAAAAACAAAGCCAAACCCACTGCCATCGAGTCAATCCAAACGTACAGCGACCCTGTGTGCATCTTCCAAGGCAGTAAATCTTTATAGAAACAGAGTTCATCTTTTTTCCCTAGTGGATTTAAACTGCTGACCATGTGATTAGCAATTCAGTGCTTATCCTACAGTGCCACTGTAAGGGTGCCTTAGGGATAAAAGAAATTGAAGAGAAAAAAAAAGATCCAATCAAAACAGTGACTTCCAAGAGGATCTGCTGGGCTAGTTAAATGCAAGGCAGAGAGGTCAGCTCGGAAGGTTATGGTTACCAATTTTGGTGATTGGTAGATTTTTGCACATTTTATTGTAATACTTTATTTTGTCTTCCTGATGCATCCTTTAAAATCTCTGCTCAGCTCTTTTATTTCATCATCTCTTTAAGTTACCTAGTTTTTCTACATTAAAGAGTAGAGTCTCTTCTGACATCCATTTTGGCCTTTTCTTTCTTTCATGTTTCATATCTTCTTAATGACCTTTTGATTTTTCATGTATGATGTCCTTGATATTATCCCACATTCATGTGGTCTTTGGTCATTAATGTTATGACCATAATTAGTATGTCAAATCTACTGTAAGGTATTTTTTTGTTTTTGTTTTTACTTTTTATTGTGAATTAGGTGGAAGTCTTTACAGAGATCAGTTTTTCATTCAACAATATCAAATCTATTCCTTTTTTTTTTTTAAGTCAGTTTCAATTTTATTGCATTAACCTTAACAATAAACAAATTACATAGTTCAAATGTTATTAAATTGATTTCAAACATACGTTGCCACAGAGGATAAACAGATATAGGATTTCAAGTTCTGTCTGGTGCAGTCCATTGTTCATTTAAAAATATGCTTCTTCATCCACACAAAACATTGAAAGGCCATTTGCATAAAAGTTAGGTGCAAATTTTGATGTTAATTTATTTCATTGTCAACTTAGAGGCACAAAAGTTCATAGTTAAAGATGCAAACAAAAAACTTGTTTTATTTCTCTGATAGGAAAGGCCTTCATTCGTGTTTCTTGATTCTTATAGCAGATCATTTCTTCTTCTTCCCTTTTCCTTTTTTACTTCCCTCTCCTTGCTGAAGACTTTGGTCACCACCACCTGTTTTTTGTGTCCTTGTGTTTAGTTTAGGTATCATTTCCTCAGCATACAACATTACTGAATTACGTGATGGAAACTCTACAAGACAGAGGCTGCCATCTTCTTGTTTGAGCTGGGCCCAGACTCTGCCTCCGCATTGAACATCACGATTCCATTCTCTAGAGTACATTTTATTTTTCTCAAGAAACGCATTAAGTCCAACAGCTAAACATACATCCTGAATCTCTGTAGCTGCAGGATTTTCAACAGACTTATTTAAGGGGATGTGCTTCCCTTCTGCGATGGTCTTCTTGTTATTTAAATAAGCAGGGTAGATACAAATGAACCTGTCCTGGTCAGCAGGGGATAGCGCAAGCCATTTCCACAGGGGAGCGCATGGCGCCAGCTTGGATTTTGTAGAGAGAAAACTGTCAAGAAATCAGCGCTGAGAGACAGCTGAGACAGTCCAAATCTATTCTTGAGATGATCACTAAATTCAGGTGGGATAACCTTGAGGTCCACTACTCAGTTTGTCGTATTGTGGTGGCTTGTGTGTTGCTGTGATGCTGGAAGCTATGCCACCATTTTTTTTTAATACAGGCAGAGTTACCCATGGTGAACGAATTTCAGTTGAGCTTCCGGACTAAGACAGTCTTGGAAGAAGGAGAGGCGGACTACATCCAAATGTTCAGCCACTGAAGCCCTTATGAATAGCAGTGGAACACTGTCAATAGCACCAGAATACTGAATATTGAAACATGATGAATAGCACCAGAATATTGTCAGCCATAGTATGGGAATGAGTCCCTCAGGTTGGAAGGCACTCAAAATATGACTGGGAAAGAGCTGCCTCCTCAAAGCAGTGTTGACCATGATAATGCAATGCAGTAAAGCCTTCGGGACCGTCATTTACTGATGGGGCACAACTCAAAATGAGGAGACAGCTGCAAACATCCATTAATATGTAATGCAGGAAGTATGAATATAGGAAAATTGGAAGTTGTTCAAAATGAAACGGAATGTAAAACCACTGGTATCCTAGGCTTAAGTGAAATGAAATGCACTGGCATTGGCCATTTTGAATATGATAATCACATGGTTTACTATGCCAAGAATGACAAATTGAGGAGGAATGACATTGCGTTCGTCATAAAAAAGAACATTTCAAGATCTATCTTGAAGGATAATACTGTCTGTTATGGAAAATATCCATATGCCTACAAGAAAGACCTCACCAGACAGAATTCACAGAAATCAAATTGACTACATCTGTGGAAAGAAACATTAGAAAAGGTCATCATCAGCCAAAACAAGGCCAGGGGAAGGCTGTGGACTAGGCCATTAATTGTTCATATACAAGAACAGAATGAAGCTGAAGAAAATTAAAACAAGTCCATGAGAACCAAAATATAACCTTGGACCTATCCAACCTGAATCTAGAGATCATCTCAACAACAGATTTGATGCATTAGACACTAATGACAGAATAGAAGACTTGTGGGATGACAATAAGAACACCATACAGGAAGAAACCGAAAGGTCATTAAGAAGACAAGAAAAAAGGAAAAGACCAAAGTGGATGTCAGAAGAAACTCTGAGACTTGTTCTCCAGCACAGAGATGCTAAAGCAAATGGAAGAAATGAGGAGGTAAAAGAGCTGAACAGGAAGTTTCAAAGGTAAGCTCGAGAAGACAGTCAAATATTAAAATGGAATGCATGAAGATTTGGAATTAGAAAATCAAAAGGGAAGGAGATTCTAAACATTCTCAAGCTAAAAGGACTGAGGAAAAAATTCAAACCTAGACTTGAAATGCTGGAGGATTCTTTGGGCAAAATGTTGAATGATGCAGAAAGCATCAAAAGAAGATGGAAGGAATACAGAGAGACACTATAACAAAAAGAACTGGTCAATGTTCAACCATTTCAAGAGGTAGCATATGATCAAGAACCAATGGTACTTAAGGAAGAATTTCAATGTGAACTGAAGGCATTTGCATAGTACACATCTCCAAAACTGTTGGATACAAATTGAAATCTTTCAACAAACTGATGCAGCCCTGGAGGCACTCACTCATATGTGCCATGAAATTTGGAAGACAGCTACCTGATCAATTGATTGGAAGAGATCCTTATTTGTGTCCATTCCAAAGAGAGGTGATCCAATGGAATGTGGAAATTATTGGACAATATCATTAATATCAGATGTAAGTAAAATTTTGTTAAAGATAATTTTTAAATGACTACAACAGTATATTGACAAGGTACTGTCAAAGGTTCAAACTAAATTTAGACTAGGATGAGAAACAAAGGCTATCATTGCTGACATCAGATGGATCTTGGCTGAAAGCAGAGAATACCAGAAAGATGTTTATCTGTGTTTTATTGACTATACAAAGGTTTTCTACTGTGTGAATCATGACAAGCTATGGGCAACATTGTACAGAATGCATATTTTGGAACACTTAATCCTGCTCGTCTGGAGCCTGTACATAGACCAAGAGGCAGTCATTTGAACAGAACAAAGGGACACTTACTGGTTTATAATCAGGAAAGGTATGCACCACAGTTGTATTCTTTCACCATACTTATTCAATCTGTATGCTGAGCAAATAGCTCGAAAAGATGGATTATATGAAGAAGAATGTGGCATCAGGATTGGTGGAAGGCTCATTAACAACCCAAGATATGCATATGACACAACCTTGCTTGTGAAAAGGACTTAAAATACGAAAATATTTATGAAATTCAAAGACCACAACCTTTGTTATGAATGTACAGAAAATGCACTTCAATGTACAGAACACTCAAATCCTCACAACTGTACCAATAAAAAACATCATGATAAATGGAGAAAAGATTGAAGTTGCCAGAGACTTTACTTTGCTTGGATCCACCATCAACACTCATGGAAGCAACAGTTAAGAAATGAAATGACATATTGCATTAGGCATTTAAATTGTTCAAGAGCAAAGATGTCAGTTTGAGGACTAAAACAAAAAAGGATCAGCAGTTGGAAAATATAACCTTGGCGATATAAATGATTCTAAGACTACATGATAGAATTTTCAAAACCAACCACTTATTCATTGCAAAGATTTTTTTTTTTCAACAACATAAACAATGATAATACAAATGGAGCTCACCGAATGGAATATATAGGAATCTAGTCTACTACATTTGTGGAAAGAGAAGATGGAGACGCTCAATATCACCAGCCAAAACCGGTACAGACCATCAGCTGCTCATATGCAAGTTCAGGTTGAAGCTGAAGAAAATTAAGACAAGTCCACTTTGAGCCAAAGTACACCGTCCAACTGCTGATTCTTTTTTGTTTTCAACTTTGCACATTACAATCACCATTAATTAGCAATGCATATAGATTGCCTATTTGATCAATTTCAGATTGCAGAAGTTCTTAAAAATTCATTTCTTCATCTTTGGCATTATGGTTGGTATGCAAATTTGACTAATAGTTGTATTAACTGGTCTTTCTTGAGGGTGTGTGGATACTATCCTATCACTGATGCAATGAACTTCAATCACAAAATATTCTTTTTGATGATGAATGTGATGCCATTGATTTTCAATCTGTCATTCCCAACATAGGAGACCATACGATTGTCCAATTCAAAATGCCTTTTCAGTTCACTAATGAAACTTGTATTTACGTGTTCCATTTCATTTTTTGTCAACTTTCAGTTTTCCTAGAGTCATTCTTCATGCATTCCAAGTTCTGTTTATTACTGGATGTTTACAGCTGTTTATCCTCATTTTGGGTCATATTACATCAGCAAATGAAGGTTCCAAGCTTTACTCCATTTGCATCATTAAGGTCAATTCTGCTTTGAGGAGGCAGCTTTCCCTGATTTTATTTTGAGTGCCTTCCAATCTGAAGTGTTCATCTTTTGGCATAGTAGTAATGTTCTACTGATATTCACAGGATTTTTACTGGTCAGTGTTTTCAGAAGTAGACAGCCATGCCCTTCTTCCTGCTCTGTCTTATTCTGGAAGCTCCACTGAAACCTGTCCACCATGGGTGATCCTTTTGATATTTGAAATACTGGTGGCACATTTCCAGCATCACAACAATATGCAAGTAGGACAAACTGACAAATGAGTGGTATTTTCAATTGTCTCATATGCATACAAAAGCTGAACAATGAAAAACGAAGACCAAAGAAACACTGATGCCTTTGAATTATGGTGTTGGAAAAGAATATTGCATATTCTATGGACTGCCAGACTAGCAAAGAAATCTGTCTTGGGAGAAGTACAATCAGCATGCTCCTTATAATCAAGGATGGTGAGTTTCATCCCATGTACATACTATAAAGAGGAACCAGTCCTTGGAGAAGGACTTCATAAAGCAGAGGATCAGTGAAAAAGAAGAAAACCTTCAATAAGATGGATCAACACAGTGGCTGCAAAAATAAGTTCAAACAGCAGAGATTGTAAGGATGGCACAGGACTAGGCAGGATTTTAGTCCATTGCACCCAGGGTGGCTCTGAGCTGAAACTGATTCAACAGTGCCTTACCGCAACAATAATCTTGATAGATTTTCTGAAAGGATACAGAATGGTCACAGGAGCTTATTATGAAGAAATTTTAAGAAAATTAAAAACTGGGGAAAAATTAGCCTATTGGACTAATGATGTGAACATTGGTCTCTATGTTCCTGAGACCATAAGAACTAGATGTTATCAGCTACCACCGCCAACTGCTCTGAAAGGGATTACATAAGAAAGTCCTGGAGAGAGTGGGCGAAAAATGTGGGACAAAATGAAAAATCATAAAATCTACCAGGGTTTCTGGTTGAATAGACTAGTAGCACCCCTGAGCCAACGGCCCTTACTAACCCTTGTGTTCTGGAAATGAACTCACTTTCATGGTTCAATTTTAACATTGACAGGTCTATATGGGGAACAGTTACAGTCTGGAGGGTCGTATACCTCAGAATAATCAACCATTTGAGATCAAAAGGGTGGCATTTATTCAGAGACAAAGTTCAGAATGGTTAGGAAACACAGAGGAATAAAAACAGGAAACACAGGGAGGAAGTGGAAACCCAAGGTTACATTATGGGAATTGCAACCAATGACATGGAATAAAATGTGTATGAATTGTTTAATTGAAAATTGACTTGCTCTGTAAACTGTTACCCAATTCACAATAAAGAGTTATTTTTTGTTTTTGTTTTTTAAAGAAGAAAATAGAACACTGCATTTGTAAGAAAAAGGTCAGGAAAGTTGTGCAGAGTATTTTTTGTTTCTTATTATAACAATGTCCTCGGAAACCCTGTGCAGAGTCACGGTACTTAACAACTACAACTACAACAACATCATAACAATGTACCTGCTCATTCTTCTAGAGAGCAAGGGCTTGCCTATAAGAATTCCTTTCGGGAAACCTTATCCCATTCGCTCTACA